GTGCCAGCCGCAAAACGAAATAAACCCTTTGTGGCAGCAACTACCACAAACTAGAAGAGGCTACCATATTTCTTTCAGCATTTATGACTCTGTGTGAGGAAGGCTAAAAGGCAGATCAACAGTATTGTGACCACATGAAAGAAACATTTTTTCTTAGAATTCTTATTTTTCATTAATTAGAGTGTTTTCAGTGGTGGTAAAGCTTTCAATAAAGAAATTATTGTGTAAATTTTATTTAAAATAAAAAGTTCAAGGAGTAAATAGACTTACATGTAAAATATTAGAGCTTAAATGAGGCAAAGATAAAATGCAAAGTTTAAATGAAAATGAAATAAATGAAATATTCTTTGTGGAGAATGACTTCGCCTGAATGAAAACAAATTCTACAGCTGCGTCTTTTAAGTGAGGCCTTCATAGACTAACAGATAGGTTATGTGCAGAACAATGGTGTTATCTTTGGGTAACCTAGCAACCGATGTGGGGTATCACAACTTCGCAAACAACACACCCACATATATTACTCGTATATGCACTATTTTGCGTTATTTCTACAACACTGGGTGCAGCAAGGCACTGTGGTTTGAAAATTAATTTATTCCGATGCGATTAAGGACTTCACTTTGCACATATCCACATGGATACTAATCAGATATTCAGCGTGAATGGTTACCAACATATTGTTGGCAACATATTCAGGAACAAAAAACCAAAAACAACAAATAAGAGTGGATCAAATTAATTCATTATGTCAAATGTAAGTGTTGCTATGTGCAGTTAGGTGCACCGTTTGTTGCCGTTGGATGTAGCTGTTACACGCTGAGTAATTGAGTTTGTTAGCTTTAGAGCCATCAGCAGTTCAGCTCTGATTGATTAATTGGAAAATGCAAATGACATTATTTTGCTGCGCCACAGCCGATGCCACCACAAGCATGTTCCATCAACGTACATGGCGTGTAATGGGCGCAATTTCATTGGTTTATATCCAATTATACCTGCGAGAATCTCTGCGCTGTTCGCTTTATTGCTGGTACAATTGGATTTAGTCGACTAAGAGGTAGATAATTTTGGTGCTTCGATGAGATTTTGTATTTGTACTGCAATGATGGTCACAAAAAAAGTGATATCGATTAAGTGAAATACCGTTGTGAAACGGTAGTATGCTTTCGCCCGATTGAAGTTTTTAAAAAATATATTATCCTTTAACCGGTATCTACAGGTATAGGGTGGATTTGGTCAATCCAACTGAATCGGTGACTTTTAAAAAAATATTGTAATTATAATTACAGTATTAATGTACTAATTTCATTTGTGGGGATTATCTTGCAAATAACTATCTATTATATATATACTATATTCTATTTAGAGATCCCGACAATGAAACATTAAACCAGTCTGAAAAATACTAGTTACCTGATAGAAATCTCGAACTGCTTTTGTACTACGCCGAAATAAAAAATTTTAAAATTAGAGTTTCGAAATTAAAACGGAACTAATTCGAGAAGAAGGTAACACTTTCTATGATATATTTTTGATGAAAATCTGACAATAGGCAAAGTCATTTAAAAAATTGCTGTTATCTGGATGGAAACACGATAGTCCACTATATTGTTCTTTATAGTAGACGTAAAGTAGTTTCGTTACTATTTGATGTCGCTGCAGGGATGCCACTGAAAAATCTCGTTTATTCAATGATGAAAATTGACGACAAACCCATAATAATTTCTAATTAGTTGCCTTAAATAGCAATTCAGCACATGTGCATGCGGAGCAATCAAAAGATGTCGAACAATCATACTGAAATCATATTTATCAACTTGTACATTCCATGTACGATTATTTGCAAATATATTTAATATACAGTATGTACAATACAACACTCTCAGCCCTAAGCAGTGAGCTCTCTTAAATACAATCTTTAGTTATTTTATTTATAATATTTCAATGATATTCAATCAGCCAATTATGTGAAAACATTGAATATTTTGAATTAATGGGAAAAGGTTCTCTTGCATTTGACTACAAAAATACAAATCGAAAATCATCAAATTATCGGAGCACTATGACGTATAGCTGTCATTAAAACTGAACGATCAAAAACTTTTTGATTTGACAAGATAGCTTCATGAAATTTGCCATGGATTATTGTCCAAGCAAACGTTGTAATCTCCGACCAAATTGTTCAGATCGAACGACTATAGCAAATAGCATTCTTGTATGAAAAATTATTTTATTTGTAAGAGTATTATAACTTTGGTGCAGCTGAAGTTAACATTTTTTTCTTGTGTTATATACAAGTGGTTGCATTCTTTTTTTTCAGACGAGAGCAGATTTACGCATATTTTATATTTAGATTTGAAGCATAAAATTCCATGCTTGTAGCAATGTCACATCGTAAAGTTATTAATGTGTCTGCATATTTGTTCTGCAATGTGTGATTATTTTTTCTTAGGGAACATTCATATACTTACTACGCCTATAACGTATACATCGAAATGAGACATACATAAATAAATCTGTTCTTACTCCCACATTTTTTACGATTATTGAATCGAATTTACTAATGAATATCATAATTTATAAATCGCTATGGAATTCCAGTGCAGTTTTCATGCCATTCTAAGGGTCAAAGTTTTGTTTTCCTTAAATTAGTGTTTGTTAATTGAATTAAATTGAGTTTAATAGCTATGATGAGCATTCAAAACATTTCCACTGACCTTACAAACTGTCGAATCGCAAAAAAACATAAACCTTTAGTGCATGATTGAATCGAATAATATTGAGGTATTAAAGCCAAACAAATGCATGGCTTTTGGGGCAATTCATTGAGGCCATCTTAAGTCAAATGATGACTTAAATCAAATGAGATGTAGTGACTATTCGTATGAAAATATCATAGACTTTAGTAATATATATATAGTAATATCATAGCAGACAGTAACTTAAGCGCTTATATGCATAACGGTTTCGTCGGCGCTGACAAAGGCACATATATACATATAACTATGTATATACATATGTATACTTGTATTATGTACACTGAATCATATGAATTACGACCAAACAAGTCTAGTGCCAGACGTTTTGTACCTTTAGGGAAATTTGCAAAGCCCATTCAAGCAAAGGTCGTTGCAGTTGATGGCATCTCTCTCGCATGTGTGTGCGTTGGTAATTTGGTCAATATTACTTGAATGGGTGTTATGAATATTGATGCGACAGATGCAAAGGGATTTTGCGATAATAAAGTTACTATCTCTCGCTGAGCTGGATGATTGTTGGTAAATAAGGAAATATGTACATATATAATATTTTCACATAATTTACCGACAATTTTTTATTTCTAATCTGATGAGAGTTTGTTTGCATAAATTGCGGGTTTTTTGTCAATCAAAATATTTTGCATTTGCAAAGTATTAATTAACATTTTGTTGTGATTTGGTTTGATATTTTAAAGTTATATTTTTTTGATGAAATTTTTCCTAATCGAATAATAATTTATGAAAATTGTATTTTAGCGTAATAAAAATATATATAATAAAAACTTTTTGATATACCATGTATTATTATACCAACTTTTCGACAGCAATATTAATTATTTCTTTTTTTAATTTTTACTCATTTGTTTCAAATATAGACTCAATAACTGAGTGACAATTTTCAGGCACCCTTGATTAATAATGTATGTTACCCCTCGCGCAACTTCGTTCTGGATACTGTAGCAGGTTAAACTCCTACCTATCCAGAATAGACCCTGACATACCAAACACATGTCCTGCATGCAATGAGTCTCCGCATGACACTAACCACCTCTTTGCATGCCCAACAAACCCCACTCATCTAACACCCCTCTCCCTATGGTCCGACCCCGTCGAAATAGCTCGTTTCCTGGGCCTTCCGTTAGATGACCTCGACGACAACGAATCTAGAATTTATCACCCAAACGGGGATTAGGTAATCGTTACAACAACAACAACAATAATGTATGTACAGGCATATGTAATTATATATGTATATTTGGCAAATGTGTATTTATAATCAAAGACGATCAACACCCATTACATTACAACGTAGTTTAGTGCCAACCAGCTGCAACAGCGGCTTCCGCCGAGTTGCATGAAATATGAACATGCTTTGACAATTCACCTTCGACATCGAGCCGTAAAGGTGTCGAGTTCGATCATATTAAATCCGGTTATGCGCCTCTTTATGAGATTTTACAGTTCTTGTGAATCAAGTCATACTTCCGTTTTTGATGTGCTTACATTTATAATATCACTTTACAACGCTTTTTGTGTTTTCATTTATTAACAAGACTTACATGCAATCTCTTTAGTATACATATACTGTTACAAGTCGTAACTGTGTAAATTATATACATATGTTCATATGTATGATGCTAGTTACTATAAGCATGTTTTAGCATTTATAACAAATTTATTTAAAACTTAATACAACTTTGTTACTGGAAAGTTTTTCATATACATAGTTGAAAACGACGAATACCGTCATTTCTCATCCAAATAACTGTTGTGCATGGATTTTCTTGCAATTTCCTACATATATACGTATGTATGTTGTGTTAAAGATAGTGTTAATGCTTATCACAGAAACATATGTTTGGTCAATTGTTTACAATTTGAGAACATTAATTAACCGGGTTTGTTGTTATGTAGCAGCGTATTTAATAACATTCTTTCTAATTTTTTTTTGATTAATAAACACATTTTTTATGCATAGGTTTCCACTTTTTTACCGAAATTATGGTACGCAGAAATTTTATTAAAAAAATATCGCCAAACATCTTCACCCAAAAAAAAAAATAGTAAAATGCCTACATCATCCTTTTATTTGAATACAAATGTGCAGAGTAATTCTTTAATGTTTAAAATTTAGACATGGAATTTTGTGTTTTGCACAACATATCTGAAAAGCTTATTGGAAATTGTTTAACGCATTAATATTGGAAAACAAGAATACAAGCATATGTTTATAGCACAACTCACCTAAATCAGGAGATGCAAATCTTGTAATTATTGGTTAAGTTTCTTGCACACATTTATCATTTTGTTTATAACTAAGTACACTAAACCACTTTTGAAATTGCAAAACCTTCGCCACTTTCAACTGGATTGCTTAAAAAAATACTTAGGTATACCGGAAAATTAATGAAATGTTTATTGACGGCGTACTGTCAAAGTGAAGTGTCAATCTTTTGTTTATTTTCTTTTAATCGAGTTTTCAACTAGTAAACAAAACGAGTTCTTTGCGTTTCACTTTCGTTGGTGAGTTTTCAATAAGCAGAGTTGCCACAAAGCGATCAAAAGGCATGAAGCAGAAACAAAGCAAAGTAAAGGTATATAAGAATAAGTAGATAAGGTAAAATAAAAAAAAAAATTATAAATAAAAGATAATTTGAATATAAAATAAAAAAAAATTAAAAGTTATTTAATAACGTAAACAGATATAAAAATAATACATGTGTACGTGATATTATATATAAAAAATTTTAAGAAAATAACAATATTCAAATAAAATAATACAAATTATGAGATATCGGTAAAAAATAATAGTATAATGATGTTGTTTGCATTGGCTAGTTAGCATAATACAGACCTTTTGCTAGTAGTCTTTGGCTCTTACTTCCCAGCGGATTCCAGTCAAACCTTATTCTCATCTAAGAACGTAAGCACATATGACCTCTCTCTGCATATACTCGTACTACCCGTCTAGGCCCTAGACTCTAGGGGCCGTTTTTCACGGAGACATTTATTTGTATGAGTATTCAATCCTCTATTTTTAGTCTTCAGAACTCATTGGTTTCTAATAGAGTTGGCTTGAATATAGGTATTGCAAATTAATCGCACGCACTTGTAGGATGAATGCTTGGAGTCTTTGAATCTTAAGATATGCATTTTACTGTTAGAAACTATCTTATTTATTTACGTACATACATATGCATATGTATATTCTAGTACTATAAAAATTATTATTTTTTGGGATTTCTTTTAATTCAATGATACTTTTTCTGCTCATCTAATTTGTTTCAGTTACTTTTTCGTAATAAATATTTAAGACCAAATATGTATATATGTATGTTCAAATGCGTGTTTATATGCTGGTATGTATATAAGTATGATGTACGTCATGTATGCATGCAAAATAATCCTAATGGCGAAAAATCTGATTGCAACTCTTTATTTTTGGTTGGTTCTAACCAAAACGAGTTCAATTGTTCCGCAATGCAGATTTATTCAACAAATTTTCATCGATTACGATATGCTGAAAGGCTGCATCGATTACTATACTATGCCCGTTATGATTTCTTAGCCACAATTTTCAAATTATTTGTATTTACAAATATGGTTTTGCTAGTTTTGCTTGCAGACAAAACTTGCTGGTTAATTATGAGCACCACAGCTTTTCTGAATAAACTTGACTTTTTAAGCCATTGATTTCATGCATGAGATTATGAATTCTACAAATATGTACTTACATATATTTACAAGTATGTACGAATACAAGCATTTTTTAAATGCTTCAACGCATATTTACCATTTATTGATTTATTTTATTAATAAATGCATTCATATGTATTTGTTTATATAAAAATTACGACTGTATTAAGTTTATGGCCAGATCGGTAAATACAAAATGTTACATTTACAGTTACAGGCAGATGTGAAGCCTTTGGCAATTTATAATTGTGTCGAGAAAAATGCATTTGCAGGAGATTTCAGCTCTTCACGGTATTTATCTGCCGCTTCACTGCAGCTGTAGTCTACTGTTGTGTATATTAATTCCTCGGGAAAACTGTCAGAATTTCGCATGTAAATACACAGACACACACATAGCCAAGCACAGTTGTATTATTTTTTCTTGCACATATTTTTCCATTGAAGAGTTTTCCTTGTAGCCACAGCTCGTTTGTCTTGCTTCGAAGCGTGGTTACTCCTGAGAGTCATAAAATTCAGTTTGCAGAGTCGGCAAACGGCGCCAGCCCTCGCAAATATTAAGTGAATTCAAGTACATTTGTATCCATCCGATCGCTTGTCTGGTTGGAGGTGGCCAGACGATAGGACGACGTTATTTGCAGCATTCCTCACATCTCTTAAAGTGTATGGTATTTTTCCAATTCATTGCGGACAGTCAGCATAACATCAACAGGCTATAACATTTTTACCTTATTTTATTGAATAGGTACTTTAGAGACGCAGTCTGTGGTCTACTTGGAAAACTACAAACTCATTTATGGGAAAATTCAACTGAAATTTGTTTAAAGGAGAGAAAAAGTATATGTATATGTATTAACATATAGTATTGTCTACATGATATTTATCCTTATTTTTTTTATTTTCTATAAAACAAGTACTACAATATAGAGAAGGGCTTAGTTCGGATGCAGCCAAACATTACATACTATCTCAATTTCCAAGAATCAAAGTCATTAAGTGTCAACAAAATTTTATAATTAAAATGTTGGATATGAATTCAACATTCGTTATTAGATAGAAATTGTAAATCGACATTTTTATTTCATCAATTTATGGCATACAACTACTTTCGCGAATACGAATATATTATATTATATTGGATATATTGGGGCTAGGGAAAGGTCTGGAATAGTTTCATCTACTTTTGACGTTAGAGAAAAATATGCTTCCGAATATATTTCCACCCAATTTTATCAAAACAACTCACGCATTGAAAACTTTATATTACATAATATATATGATTCGTATTATATGGGGGCTGAGACAATTCATGGGTGAATTTCATCCATTTTCTTCACCAAATCACAGTATAACTAAGAAAATATATTTAATTAATTTATTGACCGAATTTCACGATATGAAGTCAACAGGAAGTTCGAAAATCATAAGATAAGGTATATGTGGGCTAGGAGAAGCGCTGATCGATTTTTATTAATTTTTGGTACCACACCATATTACTAAAGGGTCTACCAACAAGAACGTCATGATGTTAAAATGAAATAAAACTCTAAAATTTGGTTTAATTGGGTTCTCTTTTTGTTTGCTATGCAAATAATTTTCTGCCACTATGGCTTCGTTTGCATATCTCCATCCGTTTACGCCAATTTTCGATGACCCGGTGCCGCTTTTCGGCTGGAATTTCGGTTATAGTATGCTGAATGTTGTCTTTAAGCTCCTTGAGCGTTGCTGGTTGATTGGCGTAAACGTTTGATTTAACATATCCCCAGAGAAAATTATGTAGTGGCGTTAAATCGCATGATCTTGGCATCCATTTGACTGGGCCATTTCTCGAAATTAACGAGTCGCCAAACTTTGTACATAATGTGTACATGTTTAGACGTAAAACATGAGGCGGTGCACAGTTTTGTTGGAAATAGGAATTGTCCACGTCGATCTCCGCACTAAACGGTCAATTTTTGAGAATGCAATTGCGTTTTCTGAACCACTCGTGGATTTGACTCACCCCAATAGCGAAGCCATTAAGCCAGAAATGGGCCTCAACTGAGAAGCTGATTTTTCGATGAAAAATTAGGCTTCCATCGTAAGAATGTGAATTTTCCATCGGGAGAATGTGAATTTAAATAATCTCTTGTGATTTCAAAGAGTTGTACCAAAGTGAAACGTAATACGATAGCCGATAAGAAATTGCGGCTTGTATGAGGGACATATGCTCTTATTCTCATTGTCCTTAACAAGAGAGAAAAGGTTACAGGCGCAATTGGTCACAAAAATTCACATATCTATATATTATCGCCAATTACGCCAATTCTGCTACCAATATTACGCCAATTCTGCTACCTAAATCGCATTTGAAGTTTGCAAATACGATTCAATTTAATTAATTTCTGAATTGAAAAGCCGCACTTATTGGTTCAGCAGCGATACGAGCGCAAAGAACTCAGTTCGCATATCGGAATTTAAGTATCCTGTGTCACAAATCCACTGCTGTGGTTTTGCTCTGTTAGCACTTTAGTAAGTCACACAAATATGCAATCACGTGTATGTGTAAGTGTAATAATGTCGCAATAATTTTGCATGCAGTCGCTTTGGTGAATAATCGCAGTTTTTTCGTTCATTGCCCACCGACCAAATAAGTGACTTTCTAATGCCATTTTACGCTTTGGCGCGTTTTAATTCCATTTCATAGTTTTCATTGCACTGACACAGAATAAGTTCATTTGCTCTCTGCTTAGCTGAGCTCAGCTTTTCTATGCATCACAATTTCCTTTGTTTGATTTTCGCTTTTATGTTCATGCTCAGTGATTTTCCAGTGCACTGCTTGACTGCTTGGTTGCGATATTTATCTTTAAAGCTGCATTTTTTTCTGTTTGTAACTTAAGTTGTGTTTCAGCAATTTTTAGTTTAGCGGAAAAAAGATGTAATTAAAACAAGTGAATATTGTATAACCTGGTAAAACTAAGGAATTTGAGTAAACAGCTGTTACTTTTCTCTTAAGAATTTGTCAAAGAAAAAGAAGAACTTAATACATAAATTTCTGAAAATATATAATTTTGTCTTTAAAAAGCTTTAAATCGCCAAAATTTAGCGATTTTATGCTAAAAAGTCTGTTGCAATAAATCGATACTAAGTTATTAAGCTATGGTTCATATTACAAGTTTACCATGTTAACCTTTGTTTATTTGCCCATCTTAATATGTGTTCCCGACTATAAAAGAATGTTTATTATTAGTAACATAACGGTTGTTCAACTAAAATCTAGTTGGACGTATTGTGATTAATGTTTGATGATATTACCACCTTTTCTTAACAACAAAGCAAATCTCTGTTTCGAATGGTTAACTGCATACAAACGCAATCTGGACAATTGATAGTCAATTAACAACAGAACTCTGACAGTCGTCTGACAATCAGAGATACTGAATAGCAGTCATTTGACAGACGACTGTCATCTGATAGCCGAAAGTTGAAAGTCATCTGACAACATATACTATACTATACTATATACTAGTATTTTTAATGTTGTATTATATTGCTATACAAAATAATTATATAAATATGCATTAACATATTCAAATGATAAAATAAAATATGCATGTATGAATGTAATATTAGTAGCAGACAAACCCCAAAATTCCCTAAGTGTTTGGGATCATCTAGTCATTCACTACAATGCTGTCAAATTGCAAATTATTGTTCTTGTTGCACAAAGTTAGCTTAATTGCCGTATTCCAGTATTTGCACAGTCACAAGGGTACTTGAATGAATCAAGGGGGAGC